CACGCAAACTTCCAGATGCAAAACGTGGGGGATTTCTTCCAGCACTTGTACCTATTTTTGCAGGCCTTTCAGCTTTGGGCACGGTGGCTGCCGGTGCAGCAAGTATCGCCAAGGCAGTCAACGATGCATCTGCAGTACGGAAAACATTGGAGGAAGTGAAACGGCACAATCGTGTTATGGAAGGACTTTATCTTGCACCATATAAACGGGGAAAAGGAATTAAAGAAAAAAAAGAAGCGCTTCGGCAAATTGTAACGCTTCCACAGGGCGCAATGACAAATGTACAGTTATATAACTTTGCACGAAAGTTGAACTTTCCATATTTTCGAGGTGTTTTCATGCGTACAAATTTACCCTCGAAATCGTTCTTAAACGAATGCGGTATCGTGAATTTAGATAAATCGGAAGGTCCTGGCACACACTGGGTAGCTTACGTAAAGCGGGGTAATTGTGTTAAATATTTCGATTCTTTTGGAAATCTGAGACCACCGACAGAGTTAATAAACTACTTTGGAAACCATGTAACGATTTTATACAATCACACGCAGTATCAAAAATTCAATACGAGTGAATGTGGACAACTCTGCTTGCATTTTTTAGCTGGAAATGTATAAAATAGTTTCGATGCACATATTCTTCACAGTTGCAAAGATGTCGTTGACGTTTACGTTAAGCGGAAAAAATTCTGTGCTTAGCACTGATTACTTTCCACCTATAGATTTGAAGGATGATAATTATGAACTCGGACTCGTTGATTTTCAAGCTTTTAACACAATACCGAACGTTGACTTTACAAACAATAAATTTCACTTTGATGCCGATGGTGACATCACGATACCGAATGGTTCGTACGAACTTGAAGCGCTAAATAAATAGTTGCAAGAGAAAATAATGGACAAGACAAAAATCATTTTATTTCGTACAAATAACAGCACTTTGAAAAGTGAAATATATAGTGATTATACAATCGATTTTACCAAACCAAATAATATAGGATCGCTTCTTGGGTTTTCTACATATCGCATATTACCGCCGGGGCAATGGCACGAGTCGGATATACCCGTAAATATTATGAAAGTAAATGTGCTGAGGATCGAATGTAATATTACGACTGGCGCGTATAGCAACGGTCAATGTGTTCATACCATTCATGAGTTTTCACCGCGCGTGCCACCAAGATATAAAATTTCGGAAAGTCCTACGAACGTCATTTATCTTCCAGTTATCGTGAAAGTCATTGATCACCTTAGTATACGCATTACCGATCAAAATGATAATCTGATAAATTTCCGTGGAGAAGAAGTGACAGTGAGGCTTCATATTAGGCGGTGTAAAAAATAACATGAATATAAACATAATAATCAATGGCCTGTTGAACGGCTCGAACGGCCCGCTGAACGGCTCGAACGGCTCGCTGAACGGCTCGAACGGCTCGAACGGCATGCTGAACATTTTACGACAGCTGCAATAAGGATAATGATGTAAAAACGATAACAATTATACAATCATTTAGTAGACGGAATATATCCAAATCGGACACATCGCAAGAGCACATCGTCGAACGCTCCGACGACGCGACTGTTTAATATACGTTAAATATCCGTTCACTTAATAGCCTTTCAAGAGAACAAGCAGCACTTATGCCAAACATTACTAGAAATAATGCTGTTGTACACAGATGCTAAAATTCAACCGATCAACAATCCGCCGAATGCATTATTGAGCACCCCGTTGAACGAGTTGCTAAAAGGATCGTTAGAACATGGATGGAACCAGAACTTCAATCACAAACGCACAAATTGTACTTGCAGCAGCAGCAATTACCACGGTTGGAGGAATGATAATCATGTATTAAACGGTGGTGACTCTTTACAATCATTTAGTAAGGACAATATTTCCAAACTGAACACATCGCAAGATTTGAGCGACAAAAACGCACAATTTCTGCAATCGTTGGGTTTTGTGATTAAGAAACGAAAATGACGGATCCATTGAACATTGACAGTTTACCGATTTCTGACGATCGAATTACATAGTTACAGCCCATACGCCAACACAACGTTCGGAAACAATGATGAAATACGAATTCCCATTCAACAAGATTTGTACACGTTTCCTTTGTTTTAAGTGAGAGTTACCTTTACGTCGAAGGAAAACTCATTTTCAACGATGACAATGTTGCAGGAACTTCAGTTGGACTAGAAATGAATTGCGCAGCATTTATGTTTGATGAAATTCGATATGAATTAAACAGCGTGGAGATCGATCGTTGTAAAAACGTTGGAATAACAACTATGATAAAAAATGGAGTATCGTTGACAACGACAAGATCAAAAATGCTTGAAAATGCTGGTTGGATAGACATACCCAATGCAGGAGGCTACTTTGACTTTTGTGTTCCTCTAAATATGCTGCTCGGTTTCTGTGATGTATTGAAATACGTGACATCACGGAGCCACGTGATGTACACGAGCACGGGCTATGTAGCGCGGAGCGGGGACGCCGAACGTGAACAGTGCCGCATTAGCTAGAAACTGATCTAGACCTACGACCCATGTATACGAGTCTAAATAAATATTAAAATTAAGTATCCGCGACCTTATTACCCGGACATTACAACTGGCGACGAGGATCGACGAAAATAAGGACCTAATGTGCAATTGACGCGAATAAGTAAAAGACGTATAGGAATACACGCACACGCCGTTGTTGACGTGCAGAACGCGACGGTCGCCACTCGGGAAGGCGAAACGCGAGTCGCATTCCGTTCCACGTGTGCAACAAAAGTGCCAGCTTAAACTGTAGTAAGGTGCAGCCGATTAAAAAGTTAATACGCTGTAGTAAGGTGCAGTGTAACGTTAAACAATAGAATATATGCCGGGACAAAAAGGTTCATCGTGGATTCAGCAGCTTAATAAGAAGCAAATTAAAGAAGAATTAGTTAAAAGGAGCATCGCATTCACAGAAACCGACAAATTTGAAAATTTACGCGAGTTACTGAGAGAAACCGTGGAAAAGGAAATAGCTGAAAAAAGAGCTAGTACAAATAATTCAAACGATAAGCCGATCGACGAAGAGAAGGTCGACCTGAACAAAAGTACATCCAGCGAGTCTGTTTACAGTCAAGCTGAAAGCGAAACAGAGAGCGATCCGAACGACAACATGGCAAGCGACAGTGCGTACCATGAGTAGGGTGTCCACAGATCCGAAGTCTCGTACGCCACCACTGAAAGAGAAGGACAAAGCTAATCTCGCGCTATATAGTTGCCAAAGCAATTCAGCGCAAGCTTTTCTCTTCTTCCAGAGTGCTGTCTGCATCTGACCGAAGTCAGGGAAGATCTGATCTGACTCCGTGTGGAACGCCTCTATTTATAGTCAGATTCTGCTCACTTAGCGCCTTTTTTCATTATAGGGTTCCTCTAGATTTCTGGAATTCCCCATCACGTGACGGCCGAGCACCCTTGCTCCTTAATCTACGCGGTCACCCTACTCTAGGTTCTCACCCCACCGTGAGATCATCGGGGTTGCGCTGGCGCACACGTGGTCGCTCGTAGATAATTTATCGATAATCTATTTTATCGGCCGACTTACCGACTATACGTTTATCGACTTATTTTATCAGACTGAATTATCTCTTGAAGTTTGAAATGAAAATTATTTATTATTACAAAAATATATATAATACAAATTAAACTAAATATTTCTTATAAACTTAACTAAATATAAAAAAAATTAAATTAAACATCTTGTACAAAATTTGAACTAAAAATTAATTATAATAATAAAAAAGAAAAAACGAAAAGTGCTGGGTCTTCTTAGCGGGACGTTACACTAGTAAAAACTATGACGGAACATTTAAACCCAAAGCCATCTAAAATAATGAAGAGATGCAAATTTAATGTGGCTAAACAGGAACCAAATGAATCAGTGGCTGAATTTGCAGCAAAATTAAAAAAGCTATCGTCACAGTGCAATTTCAGTGATATAAAAGTAGCACTCCGTGATCAATTTGTGAGTGGGTTAAGAGATCACAATACTAAAGCAGCACTACTTCGAATAGACAAATTGGATTACGAAACGGCATATGAAGAGGCCGTATCTCGGGAAGCTGCCGAGAAAAACGCAACGGGTACATTAAAAGTACTAGAAATCAAAAACGCGGGAAGTGAAATACATGCGTTTCAAAACACACGCAAGCCGAAAAATTAGAGCAACACTAGAGGCAATTCGACGAAGCCACCGAAAGATTCGCCCGAAGCCGATTCAAAACAATAACACGCCAAGCAGCCAGGAGAAATGAAGTGTTGTGCGTTATTGCTGTGGGAAGCCAAACCACACAAATAGGCAGTGTAGATACCGAAACTACAGATGCCGCGGCTGCGACAGGAACGGCCATCTGCAGCAAGCTTGCCGGAAGGGGACCGCCGCCGGACCATCCCAAAACCAGGACGACGTCAAACTAATGCGAGAGGAGAGCGAGACTTCACCGGTTCGAGAATCGACTACACATCACAACGAGTTCTACAACATCAAATCGAGCGATGAGTATGAGAGTGTAATGTATGCGAGTGACAGTGACGCGCAGCCGATGCTTGTTGACATAACCGTGAACGGGATTAAGTTGAAAATGGAACTAGATACAGGTACATACGCCACGATAATTTCAGAAACAATTTACAATGATTACTTTAAACAATTTAAAATAGTAAAATCTGATAGAAAATTCAAGGTATACGGCGGTAATATGTTGCAATCGATTGGTAAATTGCCGAATTTAACTGTTGAATTAAAAAATTAAAAAAGAGTATTAGAATGTTTTGTTTTACCCGGTACGGGACCAGCGTTAATTGGCCGACAGTGGCTACAAGCTTTCGAGTCATGGCCGGTAAAATTGAACGGTATAAATGAGAATCGCGTGAATAAGATCGATACGGAAAGCGTTAAAAACTAATAAAAGCGAAACGAAAATCGATTTAAGAGACGATGCGCGGCCAGTAGCGATGAAGTGTAGGCACGTCGCGCATTCATTGAAACCACTGATCGAAAAAGAAATAGATAGGCTGGTAAAATTGGGCCATCTAGAGCCGATTGAAATTAGTGAATGGGCAACGCCAATCGTGCCGGTTTTCAAAAGTAATGGCGATATTAGAATTTGTGGAGATTTTAAGTTGACAGTAAACCCGTACATAATTATTGACAAATATCCGCTCCACACTATCGACGAGATCTTTGCGAGCCTCCAAGGAGGTGCAGTTTTTTCGGAGTTGGATTTAAAGCACGCGTACATGCAATTCCCAGTAGTTAAAGAATGCCTACCCTTGCTCACGATCGTAACTCACAAAGGCTTATTTAGATACAGAAATATTCCAGAGGGCGTTTCACCAGCGCCTGCAGATGTACAAAGAAAAATGGATAAATGTCTAATGGGAATCGATGGCGGGATCGCGTATCTCGACAATATCTATGTAACTGGCCGTACAGAAAGCGAACACAAAGAAAATTTAGAAAAAGTTTGTGCGAGGCTGGAAGAATGCGGATTAAGAATCAATAAAGAAAAAAGTAAATTCATGCAAGATAGAATCGAAATCTTAGGCTACGTTATAGATAAGAACGGGTTACACAAAGCGAAGTCAAAAGTACGCGCAATGATAGATGCCCCCCAACCAAAAAATCACAAAGAACTAGCTTCTTTCTTAGGATTAGTAACGTTCTACTCTAGATTTTTGCAAGACAGGTCAGCAAAACTAACACCGCTATACACATTATTAAATAAAAAAGAATTCGAATGGGATCAAGAATGCACAAGTGCGTTTGAATGGGTAAAAGATGAATTGATCTCACCTCGTATATTAGCGCATTATAACCCGAACGGGCAAATAGTCTTAGCATGTGATGCGTCATAAAATCGAACATGTCAGATCCCAAGCGGATGCAAATTGTAATGCATTGTCTAGACTTCCCATCGAAGACGAAGGAAATGATATTTTGTTATTAGAATTAGAACCTGATTTTTTACATGTAAACTTTTTTGAAGAAGGAATTAAAACTTTTGATTACAAAATATTAGCCACTGAAAATAAGGAAGATAAAACAATTAGCAACGTAATTAAACACGTATTAAATGTGTGGCCAGATGTAAAAGAACTACCGAATGACGAAAAACATTATTACTCAAAATGATTAGAATTAACAGTCGAGAAAGGATATTTATTTTGGGGCCTAAGAGCCGTTATTCCACAAAGCATGAGAACCTTAATTTTGAATGAATTACATGCCACACACCTAGGAATTGTAAAGATCAAAATGTTTGCTCGCTCGTATGTTTGGTGGCCAGGAATAGATTCGGACATAGAAGCTATAGTGAATAGATGCAAAATTTGTCTAATTCAGCATAAGAAGCCGCCGCATACGCCATTAACAACATGGCCATGGCCGACAAAGGCATGGAGCCGCATACATTGTGATTTTGCAGGACTATTCTATGGGAACACGTTTTTAATTATAATTGATGCGTATTCCAAATGGCCGGAAATAATTAATTTTAAGAATAACACAAAAGCGTATAGACTAATCGAGGAATTCAAAGGGTTACTTGCGAGATTTGGGTTGCCGTTACATTGTGTTACGGATGGAGGACCACAATTTAGAAGTGTGGAATTCCACGAATTCCTGATAAAAAACGGAGTAAAACATACTTATTCGCCCCCACACCATCCGGCGACTAACGGGGCCGCTGAAAACTTTGTGCAAACATTTAAAGATAAAGTCTCAAAAATCGTTCAAGGGGGAGAGACGCTGGACACAGCGGTCGATATGTTTTTGTACGATTACCGTAGTATCGAGCATTGTACCACACGTAGGAGTCCAGCATTCTTGATGTATGGTCGCGAGCTGAGAACTCAGTTCGACCTGTTAAAACCGAATGTAGCGGAGACTGTTGAAGATAAGCAACGTGCACAGATCGTTAACAGACCCGGTAAACGTAAGGTAGAGATAGCGGTAGATGAAGACGTTATGGTATGTTTTGAAGCTCCGAATTTTCCGTCGGAACATTCGAGGAATTAAGACGAGCTTCCGAGTAACGTTGCTCGTTGGAGCGTGAAAAAAGTTCGACGCGATCGCGGATCAGTATTTAACTCGTTTTCGGGGAATCCCCTTAAACGAAGCACACAAGGATCGTAGACGGTTTTAATCCGCAACGGAATTCGATGAAGAAGTGTTTCGTAATAAGCCCGTGTTTACTTTGTCACAATGCCGACTAAGAGAGAGCGAGGATTCCCGGAATCGATATATTTATATCTTTCGCCGTCTCGCCTCGCCCCCCTACAGGTGCCGAGCTACTCGATCCACCCGGGGGAACCTGTGAGGGGAAGGGCGAGTGGCGGGGAATCGCGAACCTCGCTCGCCCGTCGGCTATGATTTATTTTATAAACGATTAATAATAGATACAAACAAATATTGTACAGTTAATAGAATTAAATAATTAGTTGTAATATGATGTAAATTTAACAAAAATAATGTAGGAAGAAATATAATTAATAAAGTGAGCAAATCTCAAACATGCCGCCCGCCTCGTTGTTGGAACAGCAACGACGTGATCGTTTCCAAGAATCGGCGGTTGCTACTGCGTCACTGCTCGTTTGCCAGTAGAGTGCCGCCGCCCGCCGTGACAGACGTATCACGAGACGTCTCCTTAGCCATAGCGTTGTGCGTATCGTTCGGCAACACGAGTGGAATCAACCGTGTGATTGCACGTGTGGTCAGTCTGGTCGCAGCCGCTCCCCGCGCCTCAACAGAATTCGAATTAAAAAGGCGGGAGCGTTGTGATGTATTGAAATACGCGACATCACGGAGCTACGTGATGTACACGAGCACGGGCTATGTAGCGCGGAGCGGGGACGCCGAACGTGAGCAGTGCCGCATCAGCTAGAAACTGATCTAGACCTACGACCCATGTATACGAGTCTAAATAAATATTAAAATTAAGTATCCGCGACCTTATTACCCGGACATTACAGTTTCTGCGAAGATTATAAACGAATAGTGATTAATGCGCATCATGAATTGATTCTGATTCGGTCGCGAGACGACAAAAACGCTGTTTATGGAACAGATGGTGCAAAATACACGCTGCAACTATACAAAGTACAGCGGAGGATGCCACATGTCACGCTCGAAGAAAGACACAAACTTTCATTGTTGCGTATCCTTGAAAACGGTCAAACGATAATTATGAGTTACCGTTCCTGGGACTTATACAGGTATCCAATGTTACAAGCAACCACTAAACATACATGGAGCATTAAAGCAGCTACGCAATTAGAAAAACCGCGATATGTAATATTTGCATTATAAACGGATAAAAGAAATAGGCTCAATAGACATATCACCAAATTTGATGACTGCAAACTCACCAATTTTCGATTGTATTTAAATTCGGAATCATATCCGTATGACAATTTGAATCTTGACTTTAATAAAAATAGATACTCTGTCCTTTACGACATGTATGCAAAATTCAGAAAGTCATATTACGGAGCAATGTGCAGTAATGGTGATGACGGCGCTCTATACGATAAGATACTCTTTTTTGGCTATGGCCCATTCGTCGTCATTGATTGCTCGCATCAGAACGAATCGATGAAAAGCGCTACAATCGATATAAGAATCGATTTTGAGTGTAATGAAAACGTTCCTGAAAATACTAGCGCTTACTGTTTGATCATTCACGATCGTATCGTGCAGTACAATCCACTGTCCAATGTAGTGCGCAAACTCTCTTAAGTGGAAGAGGGTTTATATGAGATCATTCCATAGCAAAACCAGTCATTTTTCGCCACAAATTCAACTAATCAAAATGAACGTACCAACATTCGTGGACATTCAAGGCTTCAAAAGCGATACGAACGAGTTATTCGTAAAGGAACTTGCCATCTTCCAGAATGGGAGTCGTGTACAATGTTTCATCTTTGCGCCTCACATTTGCTGAGAGAAAATTGTCGAAAGCAGAATTAAGACAAATAAAATGGTTGACGCAAAATCATCATGGTTTTGAGTGGGACGATGGTACCGTGCCGTATTCACGCCTTCAAGAGTGTGCCGCTTCGTGTTTGAAAGATAGTATTCATGGATCTGTATACGTCAAGGGCATTGAGAAAGAAAAATGGCTGAAGAAACTTTATCCTTCAGTCAGTCCAATCAATATAGAGGTTTTAAACAAAGATGACGATCTACCGAATTTGCCAACCAAGAGCCGGCATATTCAGGATGGATGGATGGATAAATATATGGCATGCATCGCACACAACGGAGCATGTGCTATGAGAAACGTATCGATATTAAAAGAATGGTGGTTAAAGAAAAGGAAGGAGGAAGATGAAGAGCTGTGCATGGAACATTATAACCGGTCGGGGGATGACACGCACATAGATGGACCTCCACCGAAAAAGGAAAATTGTTACATTTGTCTTAAAACACGAAACATTTAATATCATTTATTAATTTTGTTCATTACTGTAAAATAATAAAATCTATTTAGTAAAAATATACTTTATGCGTCTTAATGTTGTTTTACCTAGAACGATTGTATGTGTAACGTTTGTGTTTCATATTCCAATGTAGGAGATACAAAGGAATGTTCTTCTATTTCAAAGACATGAGGGAGTAGGGCGAAATCCATGTTTACATGCAGACACGTGTCGATGTGCAATCTGGTACAGATAGAGAGAGCATCGTCGAGACAGACTTTTGGTCACGTTTTGCTTGGATGCCTCTTTGACGGCTTGCTGACGCGGTTAACATGAGGGGGTAGGGTGAAATCCATGTTTACAGGTAGACACGTGTCGATGTGCAATCTGATACAGATTGAGCGAGCATCGTCGAGACAGACTTTCGGTCACGTTGTTGCTTGGATGCGTATTTGATGGCTCGGTCACGAATTGCATTCCGCGTGCCCTCCACCACCGCCCGCCGCCGCCGCGGAGAAAAAGGGTTAATCGCGGTTAAAGCGCGTTATCGCCGCGGAGAAAATTGGGTTAATCGCGGTTAAAGCTCATCTACGGCCGCGGTTAAAGCATGTTCACGACGCGGACAAGCAGCTTTTCCGCAACCTATAAAGAGGCTGAATCATTAAATAAATGGTTATTATATAGACGATATGCGTTTCGCAAAGCAGCCCCTGTCTATCCTTATTCTCGATTTAGACGAGAGGACAACACGCATGGACGATCGCCGGCGACGACACGGGCCCCTCTTGCCGAATACGATACGTGGTATAATTTGCGGTCCATCGAACTGCGGTAAAACGAACGTCGTAATCAGTCTGATGGAGAGCCCGAACGGTGTAAGATTCAATAACGTATATGTATACTCAAAATCATTGGAACAACCAAAGTACAAATATCTCGAACGAATTTTGACAAACGTTCCTGAAATCGGATACTTTTCATTTTCAAATAACGCCGAAGTCGTGCCACCGAACGAGGCGCTACCCGATTCGGTGTTTACATTCGATGACGTTGCGTGCGACAAGCAAGACGTGATAAGAGAATATTTCGCTATGGGTAGGCACTCGCGCGTGGACTGCTTTTATCTCTGTCAGACTTACGCGAGAATACCGAAACACCTAATTCGCGACAATACCAACCTTTTGATCGTGTTCAAACAAGATGGCACGAATCTACACCACATTTATAATGATCATGTAAATACAGACATGTCGTATGAAAACTTTTGTAAATTGTGCGCACAGTGTTGGGAACAGAAATATGGTTTCGTAATAATCGACAAGGACAGCTCGATGGAACGTGGCCGTTGCAGAAAAGGATTTAACGAATTTGCCGTTTTCTGAAACATTTAGTCCTTCGATAGAACGCTTAGCGAATAGACGTCTTCTCTTTGTAAT